TTGAAAAAACTACTCAAGGCATTTGTTCGCATATTTGACCTGAATTTTCTTTATATTAATGGCACCTATCACTCTGTTTGACTACCGAGCAGTTTTTTGGAATTAACTCTATTTTTCCCTCTTTTTATTTAGGAGAGGTGGAGAGAACAAATCCAACTAGATTTACTTCAGCCTGGGACAAGGTTTATCAGCTCACAGAAACTGAGAGAAAATTAAAATGAACAAAAATAAAAAATAAAATCAAAACTGACAAGCAGTCTGGCTCTGCAGAGTGCCATGGCAGATTTGAATACTCTGTATGAGACTGCTTGTATTATTTCCTTAGAATTCTCATTATGGAGGGAATGATACTTTTTTAATCTACTTGCCAAGATAGAGACTATTGTAATTTCAGCAATGGTAAATATCATCTAACAACATATCCTTGAACCAGATCCCAGAATTTAAAGTCAGCTCCTTCATCTCTATTCATGCATCATAAAAAGAAGTATACATATTAACTCAAATGTTTACTTAAAGTATGAAGGAATGCTCCTGTGGGCACTTAGTGTGGGTTAATGAATGTAGTAATACAAAGAAGAGTTTTATAAACCTAATTATAATACTTTTACATGAGTAAATTTCACTATAGTTAGGAAGAGTTGACACAAAGCTTAGTGCTATTTAAGTCCTACTTACTTAATTCCTCAAATATGAAGACTGAAATGCTACGTACAATCTGTACACACTTAAAATACTGGTAAATGCAATACTTAGAACATAGGAGCCTGAACTGCAAAATGATATAGTATAGCTCTAAAACTGTTTGCTGGAGCTGAAACTCATATTGGCTTAAAACTGCACAACATAGAAATGTAAAATAAAAATAGATTCACAATACTTAAAAAAAACCCTACCCCCCCCCCCAAAGAAAAACCCCAAAACCCTACAACCAAAAAAACTCCCTACAACCTTAAGCTAATAATAAAATTTGCTAGAATATTGGAGGAGGGGGGTAGGGAGGAGGATTAAACCACTGAAGTATCTCTAAGAACTGTATTTCTGATCATCTTAGACAGATTTTAATTTTTTTATACATCAGGCCAATGGGATTCACTCAAAATTCAGATGTAGCAGCATTGAATTGTTTGATTTACAACTGAAATTTCAATTGCTTTTTCCCTTAAGGGCTGTGAAACTGAGAAAGACTCATCAAAATGTTCTGCAGATAAGTTCAGGTGATGTGGAAAAGCTGGCTGATTTGTAATGAAAATATGACACTGGTATCTAAAAATACTTGATTTCTGGTGTTTACACAGACTTACTGAAGTACTCAGTTAAACATCCTATCTCAGACCTATCTGTAAAAGGGCTAACATAGCCTAAATATATGAGAAATATGTGAACTCTCTTGGGCAGCAACAGTCTGGATCTGCAATAAGATTCAAATAAATAATCCTAATCAGTTTTGTAATATTTCTATAGATCATTTTGCTGCACTAAATCAAATATCTTTCACAAGATAAAGCAGCAGCAGTATCAAACAAGCAGTAAAGCCAAATATTCCAGGACAGCTTCCTAACGACACTTCCTCTCCTTGTGCTGTCACACAGCAAATTCCTCAGAGTATTTGTTTCCAATGCATCCTTCCTCATATATTCCCATACAGTGGCAAAACCCAGTAGTGAATTCTCCAGAAGAAGAAACAAGACTTTTCATTTTACCTTGTTTTGTTAAGCCATTTCTTGTATAGGATCTCTGAAATCTGTTTCCAGCTAATACTACTAACTAAATGAGTAGAATCAAAGAAATCACTTAGGTTCAAAAAGACATTTCAGATGAAGTCCAACCATAAAAGTAGGTAGCAAAGACTTCTTTCACTCCAAAAGACAACACCAAAAAAGCTGAATGGAAAGGCATCACATGAAGCACATGAAGCTCAAGAAAACTCTATTCCAGGAAGGAATGACAATCCTTTCTAAAAGTCATCCACATACAGAATGGAACACAAGAATACAATTAATGAGACATGAAGCGAGAGTGCATTTCTATGCAGTCAAATATGTGTGCGGATACTTTATATATATTTAACAAAAGCAAGACAAAAGAATGAGTAATGATGCACTAGTTGTAATAGCAGAAGTTAAGCTGCAGACATGACAAAGGAGCTTATTAAAGATGTTTTCTGCTTTTTTATAAAATTATTTGATTAATTTTTGATATCAACTTTGTGGTTTGCTGTCAAAGAACACTACCTCAATAAACTATATTCTAGAACAGAACTGTAAATACAATTAATCTGATTAAGTAAAACTGCATTTTAAAATGCATTATCCTACATTCTTCAGGGATTAATTAATAATGCAATCCCAAATGGGCCAAGCACTCACACTAACACAGAGTAGAGAATGATCAGTGTCAATCAAACCTTAGTTTGTGGTGGCTAAAAGTAAATCTTTGTGCTCTTTCCTACCACAGTATTAATGAGAGGGGTATGGAGATGAGGATACATAGGGTATATTTTGATAGTTTTAGAAACTTGGAAAGCTTTAAGGAAAGTCTAGAATAGACATATTTGAAAAGCACAAAGCTCATTTTAAACAGCTGGTTTAGAAATCAAGCTAAGAATCAAAATAAGGGCATTTTCTTTATGGTATACTCAAGAAAAAACTTGGTAGTTTTACATTTGGTCATGTTCCCTGGATATCAGATCTAGACAAACAGAATTTATAAAATCATGATGCAGAAGGAGCAAGTATGTCTGAAATCTTCTCAGATATACAAAGATAAAAGAACATAAAAAGTAGAGTTCTCTGTATGTTTAACTTTTTTCTTTTCCACATATAAAAAGAAATAAAACTGTCAGATTAAGAAGGCAACAGTTGAGAACAAGTTCAAGGCTCAGCATGAACCTATATGTCTACGTGCATAGTTGTATAAATCTTCCTGTTCACAGAGCCACTTTTATTCTTAGATCCAGCTGTTTTACAGTCATTGCCAGATGGCACATTTTTGTACAATTCTAATCAAGTATAATACGTGACACAGTAAACTGGAAAAAAATAGCTATTCAGAAATAACTACACGGGTGCCTCTGTAAATGCAACTCCAGAAAACCAATATGAAAACCACATGTGAGTAGAACATATAAAACAAGTTCTGAGAGTTTTCGTGTTTTCACCTTGCCACTCAAGGGGTCTATTATTTCTACACTGATGTCAGTTCTTATTGAAGGGACTAAAGTAACTGCAAACTTCAAGACACAGGGCAGTAGTAACTGGTCATCAGAAATCAATTTCTATGACAAAGAAAAATAAATAAATAATATAAATAAATAAATAAATAGAGCTGTGCCTGAAATGCACAGGTTATGTCTATGGTTGCATATTAGATTGTATCATACCCCAGAAGATAAAACAGAACCAGAGTAGAAAAGGATATTCACATCACAAACAATTTCCTTGATACTGCCATTACAAGAAGTAGAAAAGCGGAGCCCTGAGTTACCAGCTGAGCAGGAAACTGAGTTCTCTCCTAGTGCTTTTACTGACCATGCCTAAAGATGGTCATGGCAAGCAAATGATACTCTCTGCTCAAGTCACTAATTCAGTACAATACACAGAGCTCAGGATGACAGATGAAAAGATGTTGGCCATCCAGAAGCTTTGCCATTGTGCTTTAAGAAGTTTTTAAAAAGATCTCCAGAAAAACACCAAGTTATGTGCTTCAGTGGTGACACACTGAAGAAAAATTTTCTGAAATCACTAACATTCACTGCAATGTTAAGAAGGGAAAATTAATGCCTTCACTTCAAGAGAGTTCAAACAGAACTTGAATTTTCCCACCACTTGGCTCCTCTCAACAAAGAAAATCATGTCTACCTTAGTTAATTGCGCTATGCTTCACACATCTAGGCTACAGTGGTACGGCTTAAAACTCACATGATACACAGCTGACAACCATGTATTCAATAACACCTTTTGCTGCTGCTACTACTTACCTAAATGTCAGTATGTGCAGATGTCAACAGCGAAATGACTGATTTTCTGACTCATACAGAGACTGGTTTAGGACATAACCACTACCATTACAGACAGCCAGGCTGGCTCAATGCAACACACTATATTAACCATTGCGCTAATGGCACACCTAAACCTAGTCTGGGGAAATGCAGCAAATGTGTAGCTTTAAAATGCTATCAGTATGTCAGAATATCATCCTCCCAAAATAACTGGATTCAACAGAACAACATTCTATTGAAACCCTTTTCTTAAGAGTCTTCTGTGTTAGGCTACCCATTTGCCTGTTACACCACACTAACACTCTCCAGCCTGATATGAAAACAAGTGTGAAGTATGAATGATAACAAAGAGAAGATACTCATAGTTACACCAGTTTGCATCAAACCATCACATATCTCAAAAGGTAAGGAAGAAAGTTTCTATTGCCTGGCCAAAATTATTATACTGTATGATAAAGTTGGTGCAAATCTAAAAAAAAAAAAAAAAAAAATTAGTGAGATGCTTTGCAGATTTTTACTGACTTACCTTATCTGGGAGAAATCTATCAAACCCAGGAGTTGGAAGTCTGAACAGATATGTGATACAATGCTCATAGTGTCTAATTACATTCAGAGTTTTTCAGAAGTGTTCTTGTCAGTGTCCTAAGACACTTTTTTCTCTGGCAAATATTCTTTCTCTGTATTACTTATCCTAGTCTTGAATTTTAAAGATTCCACATATGCACAATGAACATAAAACCAATAATTTTGTCACAGTAGCTATATTTTCAACAAACAAAAGTAGTGTTTCTCTCCATTCTATAGATCCAACAACTATGTTCAATCCATTTTATAGATTTTTCCCATTCTTGAGTTATTTGGTAGACCATGCATTGTTATAAAATTCTTCGCACTCAGGTGATAACACCAAGCACTGATTTGATGTAGATGAATGGAGCAATTTAAAGATGTGTAATTGCTGCAGGAAAGGAGGGAAAGGAAAATGTACTAGAATACTCACTTTGATGAATCTATGAAGTATATTACAAGAGCACCAATACTAAGAGCGAAGACTAAGACAACCTACAAAAGAAAAAGAGAGTCATTATTTAATAGTGTTAAAATGAAACACTTATTCTTTTACACTGTAAAAAAATATATAATAGACTTTTTTTTTATTTCAGCTGTCATTTTCCTCAGAAAGCTACTCCTACTTGAATTTCAAATGCTCTATACTATCATAAAATGCTGTCTTGCATTGAAAAAGAGACACAAACAAGTTTAATCCTGAACCAGGGAAAGACAGTATACATTAAGGTCCTAGATCCTGAACTCTTCTATACTATATTATTTCATTTCAAACTGCAAGCAGTCTTACTACGTGGCATTCAAATCACACTACAGCTTTGTCAGACCTATCCTTCAGGACTGCAGTAAGTTCCTCCTCACTGGTACATAAACCAAGAGAGATGATGGATTAGACTGAATTACCATTTATATACATGACTGTGAAATCCACAGGTGTAAGGCTCTGTAAAAATTACATATTTACTCTGCACTCCTGTCCACTGAGACTATAGTTAAATTTCAAACACGTTAAAACAATGGCTTGATGCAGCATGTCCTGATACAATGAATACATGCCTTGGGCACCTTGTAGTCCCAGCATTTCCACCTACTGAATCCAGTTTTCAAACCAAATAATTTTGTTAGGGCTGGCATCCAACCCTCATTAGCAAGACAGAACTTGCTTTTCTGGCTAGTGCAGCAGAAGCTGGGCTAATGACATCTCCGTCTGTCTCTAATTTATTTTTTCTGAACATAAAGCCAAAACAATCATCTCTTCTACTTGCTCTCAAAGATTTTCCAACACAGTGGGAAGATTTAGTTTCACATCCTATCCAAAGGAGGTCTGCATCTACACAGGACAGCATAACTGAAATTTCTGCAACCAAATTTTGGCTTGAGGAATCATGAAGTACACAACAGTTTCTGTATCCATTGTAACTCAGATTTCTGATATCCTTACTCAAGATTTCTCTCTCTTGAATAATGCCATCCACTGGGTAATTTGTAATCTGAAAACATGAACCCAATAAGCTATTTTTGTGTCTTAGAATGCAATTGTGCTGGAAGAAATCAGAAGAGATTCCTGTCTGCTGTATTGAGGATGGGAAACAGATGGAAAATTGTCTTCTGCAACTCATCTCATCTGCTGGTCCACAGAATCAAAACAAAATGTCCCTTAGTCTTTTGGAAGGCACATCTCAAGTACCTGCTTATAAGTAATGACCCTTAAAATAAACCCAGAGAACCGATCACTTAAGACTGGTTTAACCAGGGTACTAAGGGGACAAGCAGCTCCTCAAACTGCCAGTTAAAACATAAAATTAGATGTTATCGAAACAACAGCATGTGTGAAATAAACTTGTAGTACCATTCCAGTTCTGAAATGAGCAGATTTATTAATCTGTATGAACACCATAACCAATGCATACTACCACCACTACTGCTACTTTTCTTGACACTCTCAACTGTTCAAGCAACAGATAAGCAGTAAAATAAAAAAAAAAAAATTATTATTCTTCTTCAATACAGGCTTTAAAGCTTTTTCTGAAGCTTCTGTATTACGAAGGAGCCTGACAGTTATAGTTCAAGGGAATGCACAATGTGTTAATTCTAAGTAGACTTCCTGAAAAAATAATGTAGAAGTTTCTCTACTCTCAGCTACCACTCAATGATGTAATGGCAGTATCTGAAGCAAAGTATAATTGTAATTATATAACCAAATTCTGAAGCTCTCCAGGGCCAAAGTCAAACATGCACAGGTTTTCCAATAAAAGAAACTAATTTATTTTTAACATTATTTTTAACGTTAAAAAAAAATTGTATTCAACTGAAAGTTCTAATTAATTTTTCATTCCTTTTAAATCTTGCTGACCATAAGTTTTTGCTTCGTGAAATGTCTGAGAAAGAGTATTTTGCCTGAGTACACGCATCCATTGTCTTATCTGATCTATTATCATCCAAATAAGTGAGATCTGTCAGTCAGACTCTCAGGACTGAAGCGTGAAATTCTTCAAATAACAGTTTTACTACCAAAAGTCTAAAATAATGCTAACATCTAGAGTTTGAATCTTCTTTCACTAAACTACATTATTGATCAGATGTGTACAGGTGGTGCAAGGTGAAAGCTATTAAATCCATATCAACCATTAGAAGACTCACCATCTCACAACAAACTCATGTGGTAAACTAGAACTTGTGAATTATCACTTGGCATTATACTCAAATTGTGATCAGTAGTCATCCCGAGGCCTGTTTTTCTCTGAATTAAGTTACTAGGAATTAAACTGATTGTGCAGAGCCTGTCCCATACATTGAAGTATTCCAAGCCACAACCAACCACAGTTGGAATCTGAATCAAATCCACTCTGCTGCCTAGCTCTAGATGTATATATTATCAATACATTTCAAATGTAGTCTTCATATATAAATAAAATAAAATAAAATAAAATAAAATAAAATAAAATAAAATAAAATAAAATAAAATAAGATAAAATAAAATAAAATAAAAAGTTAGACAAGGTGCTGTAGGCTCTGGGAATACAGAGCTTCTATTTTTGGTAAAAATTCTGATTTGACCCAAACCAATTTTAAATACAGCTATCTAATCTTACACATTTTAAAGTCAAATATTAATGGTTCTTTTTTTACCCTACATTTTGTGGAATCATTTATATACTGAACTGAAGAATGCCAAAATGAGTATTTAATGCTGGAAATGAAATTTGAGAAACTAAACTTGTAATCTGTCTGGGACTCTATGACACTCTCACTCTTCAAATTTTGTGAAGTACACAAGTAAATCTAGACTTTATTTTCCATTTCACATGACAAGGCTAATGTTACAGCATCTAGGAGTCTCCTAGAACAAAGCCAGCATAACTGTAAATCAGCCTTGCATTTTAATTATATCCAATCCCTTAATCATCACTATGCTCATGCTGCTTAAATAATGTTACATAGACTTTGGATAAGCCCTTCCAAGACACTTAAGGAATTATAATGTCCTATGACAATTCATATAACTACCACTAAAATGCAAATATCTAAATTTTGCAAGAAGCTCCAAATTCCCATGCTACACCAAAGAGCGAGACAGGTATGCAAAACTACACCATATAATATACACCATAATAAATATCTGATTTTAAATCAAGGCTTTATTTCCTCTTCTATTGCCCCAAAACACATATCTAACATCACAAGTCAAAACATCTCCAAAAATCATAGAAAGGGTACCAGAAATAATAGAATCCTAAACTCAATTTTTATCCTGCTTGCAGAGAAATGTATTTTTCCTTTTCTAAGGGACAGAGGTATTGAGCTGAACCTCAATACATCAAGTGTGTGGAAAAAGCAAGGCCTGAACCAATCAGGTTAGAGTAAAATTTAAAAAATGAAAGCTAACACCCTTCCATGTGATATAAACACATTTGATAGAGTCTCAGATTCAAGTTATTTGCTGTATTACCATCTAAAAAAGCTGAATACATCCTGGTTATTCAGACCCAAGGGAAGGATTGATTATTCTAGATTGAGATTAAAGTCCTTGCTAGATTGTCATGGGAGTTAACATCTATTTTGTGGAATTGGCTGTGCTTGAAGAGACATGGACAAAGTCACAGCAACTAGAATCTAAGAGATGAAAAAAAAATGTATGGATATGAATTGCTGCCTTTTTTGTTAATCAGGCCATGGAGAGAAGCTTGCTTGCTCTGTTTATAATTCCAACTTATTTGGCACAACATTGCAATTGCTACACATCTATTATCATTTGTCTTCTTCTGGAAGGAAAGAATCTTTTAATTCGTAATAACTTACTGTTTGTTTAAGATTGAGAAATGTGAAGTCATTCTAACAGCTACGCTGACTAAGCACTTAGTATCAAGTTTAAAATAAACACCAATCTAATTAAAGGACAGAGGGGGAAAGCATGGAATAGTTGCTGAATATTCTTAAATCTTTCCAAAAATACCAAAAACCCCACCAAACAAACTAACAAACAAAAAAAAAACAAACCCAAAACAAAACAACAACAAAAAAACCCACCATAAAAATAAAACATACCCAGCCACATATTTCAACAAAAGTGTAGAGTGCTTTTTTGAGTTAGGAGTCAGAGAAACTGCATATAAAATCTACTTAAAGAAAACTGTAAAAATGTTTTGCTCTCCACTGTTGGCAGGATGCTCCAGATGAGCTTTGACTGCTCTGTTGCAGTCAAACTGCAGTAAAACTTTATGCATCCATATTAAGGACAGAAAAGAAAGGAGGGGCAAAGGAAGAAGAAGAAGAAAAAAATAAAAGCAAACTGCAGGGAAAGCACAAGCATTGAGAAAATACTCTTAAAAATAAGCCACCCTAACCGAAAGCGGATGAGACCACCTCCCGGGATCGAGCCTATATAGTCAAACGCTGCCCGTGACAGACCAAGAGGTGGTGCTATTTCCCTTAGCACAGCACCGAGGTGCTGTCCTGCTGGGGATTAGAATGCCCGGTGTGGGATAAGGCTGTTCCCCCGTCACAGAGGGGAGCTACAGTTAATACACCCTTAACGAGTAATGCGACGACTCTAGAGCAGGAACTTCAACCTCTGGTTATTCTGTAACGTCTGAACGAAAGAGAACTCGCTTTAGTTTCAAAGGCAAATTCTTGAAAAACTGAACTGTCTAAACATCATTAATACAAGTAGCACAGATCTCAACAGGTAAAGCCAGAAATAAAAAAATGTGTCTATTGTTATTTTTCTCTTAACATTAATTATTAAAATAAGAAGTACACAATGAAAAGAAAAATCTTCCAGGAATTCCATAACCCTTAACACTTCACAGCACCAGGGAATCCTTACTCTGTTATCTGATGACAATCTGTTATGTACCACTCTTCAGAAATATGTGACTGAAACTCTAATTATTCTCAGTTTAAATTTTTTAGCCCTAGGACTATTGTACTTAGACTGTATTAAGTTGTTCATTATTAATATTTTCAGAATTCAATTTTAATTTCTACAT